TCGCCATCTATGTCGATGTAATAGTACATGTAGTCTATGGAAGCAAATTATTTATTAGTGGCACGTAGACTTTGGTGTTCGAAAAGAATAATTGACCGAATCTTTATTGCAGTTTGCTTCTAAAATAATCTTCTTTTAATCCGTCCTATTCGAAATAAACAAATTGAACCATCAATTTTTTCTCCCATCGAGATGTGACCCATTTTATGAACCAAAGAACTTCCAATGACAGCATGATACAACCTTTCAAGAGATAAATATAAAATGAATCAACAGAAATTTCTAAGAACTTTCACAATCTTTACATTAACAAACGAGTCTACACAAAACAAATAAAATAAAAAAGTAAAAATACTGAAATCTATCACATGTACAAACGTGGTGGTTGACTGTCGCCGGCCACCTCCTCCGCCACCAGCCCACCACCAATGTCAACAAAAAGTTAGTTGTGCCCCTTAAAGTTCCTGTTTTTCAAAATCCCTTTGTACAAAACTTGCCAATTTCTCGGCATCGCCTCCAGATTTCCATCCTCATTCTGCGGCTTCGACGAATGCTTCTTGGACCCTTCTTCAGCATTCCATGATAGCTCCACCACTTCATCGGAGAATCTTACTTTCTTCTTTCGAACTTGATCCTTTCCATATTCTGTGCATATACGCATAATTACAGAAATCATAATATCAATTAAAACCTGAAAATCCATTAAATTATTTCTTTCAAAGAAAAAAGAAAAGAATACCAGTTGCAGTGCCGATCTCGAATTCAATCTTCTTCATGAAATCAGAAAGAAGGCGTTTATGAAGTTGCATGGCAATAAATACAACGCTCCCAGAAACTGCAAAAACTGCCATAAAACCTGTTCCTAAAGAATTCTCCATTTTTTTTCTTCTGCTTGTTTCTCGATCAAGAATATAATCAAAGGGTTTTGAGATGAAAGAGCAGAGGAAGAACCATTTTCTGGATATAAAGATTGTAATAACGACAAAAGGAAATTGCAATGGCGAAGGTATCAATGTGAAAACAGGAAAAAAGGGAAAAGAAAATGCTTGTGGTTGGTAGAATAGAATGAGTCTTCGTTGAAGGAACTAAAAGTTTTCACTAATATTAACTTTCTAGATGATCATTGACCTAACTGCCAGATTGTGAAATTACACGGTTGTCCTTGGCGGTTTACACCACGTTTTATTTACATTACAAGTCCTTAATTTTTATTAATTATTACATTTATATCCTTACCTTTTTTATTATGCTTTTATCTTTAACCTAGGAAATCTTCTCCTTAATCACGAGTTTCATGCAAAAGGGAAGGATATTTCGACTTAATTTGTACTTTTTTTTTTTTTTTACTTCTTTAAAAATACGAGTGCAAAAAAGTCTTTTTATTCCATCAAATTTTTGGACAGAAATTGTCACCATGAATAAGATTTGTTAATTTGAGAATAAGAATTCGATTTAAATTTCTAGGGATATAAATATGACAACCAGTATAGGTTATGGATCTTTTTATTTAATTAAAATATGATACAATTAATAAAAATGTGGTGTGATTATATATATATATAGGGGGTATTTTGAACAAATGAAAAATCTACGGCGGTTAGTAAAAGAATGGTCCGTCGGCTCCTTTTAGCCTCTTTTTTTCCTTCCCTAATTATCATTGAAGGATATGGCATGCTGTACGTGACGTGGCATAATATGACGAGCTTATATCTTCTCTAGGTCTAGAGTTTGTTTGGGAA